GATCTAAAATACACTTGGGAGATCAAAGGGCCTAGAATAGTTAAAAAACACCTGAAGAAAAACAGGGTAAAGAATAAGTTCTTCTGGATTTTAAGATGTATCATAAGGTTCCAGCTATTCAGGGTAGTGTACTATTGACACCAAAATAGACAAATAGACAAATATCACAACATGAAAAGGAAAGAAGCAGGCCTATGCATATATAGACCCTTGGTAATGGACAAAGTTGAACAGTAAGGAAAGGATATATTGCAATAAAGAGAAGTAGTTAAATTAATCATTGTTTTGACATCCTATGTAGCTATTAAAAGTGTTTGATTCAATGCTATGTTCTGAATTAGAAAGAGTGTTCATTCATCTAACAAATATTTGGGGGCCACTTACTATGCACAAGTTATCATGAAATGTTTCTTTTAAAAATATGTTACTAAGTCAGAAAATCAAATTACAACATCATATGCAATTGTTATTTTTCTCCAACTCCCAAGTCACACATGGGAGTCCTTACAAAATCATGACCCTTTTCACTCTATGATTCCCTTCCTTCCCTCTTCACTTCAAGTCAGCCACACTAGTACTCTTTGCTTCTGTTAAACACTCCAGTCATTCATCTACCTCTGAGCTTCTGGACCAGCTCTTGCTTCTGCTAGATTGTGTCACATCAGAAATCCTCCTATCATGCATTTTGGCAAAATAAGGTCTTTGTCAAATCCTTGAACTCATGTTTTCAGTGAAATTATCTCTGACCACCCAATTTAAAATTTCAACTTTAGTACCTACACTCCTATGCCCACTCTCTATTTCCCATTTTATTTTAATTATAATATATACGGTTTCCCAAGTCCTGTATTTTTATTAATTATTTCATTATTGTCTGAATTTCACATTTTAAAAGTTATATATAAAGACAAAATAATTCTGGTTTTACCATTGCTGTACTCCAATATACTAGTGTTGGGATTACTCCTGGCATGCAGAAGAGTAAATACAGTGGTGTGTGTGTGTGTGTGTGTGTGTGTGTGTACACTTGAATGTCTCTGTGTCAGCACTAATGTATAGAGAAAACTCAAGAGGAATAATAACAAAGCTTTGCACAGGTTATTTGGGGGAAGGAGCACTTTCCTTCCATGGAAGAAAGAGAAAGAATCATCACATATTACTTTATATTTTTCTGTGTTGCTTGAATTATATAAAAAAAAAAACTTTCAATGTTCTTAAATCTTAAAACAGACAGACCAATGAGGTCAGCTAAATCCCAAACCTTGGACAATAGCCATAATAAAACTTAAGTCACAAGGTATACTCAAGAATCCTAAAATACAAGCAGATGTTAACCTCTAACAGTTAAAAGACCTGTGTGGTTCAACATCTGTATGAAGGAAGCTACAGAAGACAGCAGGTCATCCACTGACTTGAGAACAGAAACTGAAAGAAAGAAAGAGAGGAGAAAGAGAAAGAAAAGGGAGGCTGGCCAACTGGTGCTCACTGGGAGCTGAACAGGCCAATATAAGAAGACCAGCTGAAACTGGGTGGAAATTTTCTGACATTCTAACTCACAGGGAAGGGTAAGGGTTCTAGAGCAAATTAGAAAAAAAGTTAGAGCATCTGAACTCTCAAAGGTAACTGGAGCTTCCTTATAGAAAAAAGGTCTCACAACAAAGATAAACTACTAAAGTATAATCCAAACTGAAAGGACAAGAAGTAATTGGTGCAAATGGGGGGGAAAAAACAAAGACTAGAAAAGACGGAGGCTTATCTCAGAAAGTATGAGACCATATTTTTAAAATCATAATGTGATAGCAACAAGAAAAGAGGTCCTAGACTCCATAAAAATCTGTATTGCTTCCTAAAATCAAGAATACTGATTTCAAATTAAAATGAGCAAGCAAAATAGATCATGGTTCAATGACATACAAAATTATAACAATTGTATAAGAAGTGATGTAATATCCCTAAGATGAAAATTTTCCAGAAAATCATGTTTACCAAAGGAATACACTATATTCTTTTTTTTTAAAGAGAGAGTGAGAGGAGAGAGAGAGAGAGAATTTTTAATATTTATTTTTTAGTTCTCGGCGGACACAACATCTTTGTTTGTATGTGGTGCTGAGGATCGAACCCGGGCCGCATGCATGCCAGGCGAGCGCGCTACCGCTTGAGCCACATCCCCAGCCCAGGAATACACTATATTCTTAGATTTCAATTGAGCTCATTGATTTCTGAAAATGATAAAGATATGAAGAAAAAAAACATAGACCACAATTAGGAGAATACAGAAGTAAGGTAATTGAACCCCGTCCCCCCAAAAGCTATCGGAAATAAAAGAAAACATAATATTTTCTATGTTAACATATATTCTTCTATAAACCACAAGAAATACAGGGTACATAAACACAACACATTGCTTAAAGAGAAAAAGAAAGTGAAAAGAGAGGACTTCTAATAAAGAAATGAAGAAACGTAATGAGGATCCAGAATACATATAATAGAAGTCCCTGTAAAACAAAAGCAAAATTGTATTCTGCAACTGTATCAAAACCCAATTGCACCCAGTGCAGTGGTGCACACCTAAAACCACAGCAACTTGGGAGGCTGAGGCAAGAGGATCAAAAGTTCTCACAGCCAGCCTGGACAATTTAGCTGAAAACCTCAGCAACTTAATGAGACCTTAACTCAAAAAAAAAAAATTAAAGATTGGGGATGTAGCTCAGTACTATAGTGACCTTGGGTCCAACCCCCAGTACTAAAATAAAATAAACCAAAAAAAATCTAAATTGCATATTTAGTACTTTAATAACTAGGAACACTAGAACTAAGGAATATTTTTTGAGGAATGAGAAGACTTGAAAGGATATGTTACATATTCAGAAGAATTATCCAAAATAACCAACACAGAAACATGTTTCAGAAAATCTATTGGATATTGAATAAAAAGAAGTGGCTAGACAAAAAAAAAAAAAAGAAAAAAACTCAGCTCACTTATACATGAAAGAAGTTCACTGTGCCATCAGAGTTTGGGTAGTAATCCTTTATTCCAGAAGAAAATAGAATACTGGTTTATGAAATCCAGAAAAGAAAATGTGACCTAAGAACGTTGTATCCAGCCACACTGATTTTCAAGTACAAAGGCTGCAGGCAAACACTTGTCAACACATAAGAAATCAAAATCGAACTGCTTTGAACAATTCCTGAAGAATTTATATGAGAATGAGTTTCAGATCATCAACATGACTCGAGAGATGAGGACTTAAGAACTAGAGGAGAGTTCATGATTAAATGGGGGCTATAAGAGAGGTACATTATCCTATGTGTGCTGCGCATGTGCTATGCAATATGGATAGAAAATGGAAACAGGAGATAGAAAGCACAAACGAAATGAAATATGCATGCTGCTTGCTCTATCATATTAACTAGAATTAAAATGATAATATTGCAAATCAGATACTGACAAGAGGAAAGAAAGGAGATAAAAGAAATTAGGAAATTTTTATATTGCTCACAGTAAGAAGAAAATTTAAAAAGAAGAGATAAAGAATAAAGTACAAAGGCTGCAGGCAAATATATATATATATGGATTGGACCCAGAAGCTCTCTACCACTGAGCCACACCCTATCCCTTTTTATTTTATTTTACAGGGTCTTACTAAATTGTGGAGGCTGACCCTAAAGTTGCAATCCTTCTGCCTCAGTCACCCCAGTAGCTCTTCAGTATTGCCACTATACTCAGCAATCATATTTATATAAAGATATTATTATACTTTTATAACACAAAACTTCTTAAATTAAATTTTTTAAAAAAAACTTTAAAAAGCAGAGACACCAAAACCAAAAGTAAACAGATAAGAAAATCATAGCATGAAAATCAAAAGAGAAAAAGAAAATTTTGTATGTTTCATATACTATTATTGTAAGCTACCTTTTTTTCTAAGACAAATTGGGAGATAAACACAAACATACAAAAATAAAATTAAAAAAATAAATAATGAAAGTTGAACCATCATTTTCAAAGACATTTAAATATAGGAGGATGCAAGGAATAGGGTAAAGAACATGGCTATAGGGCTGGGAATGTGGCTCAGGCGGTAGCGTGCTCGTCTGGCATGCGTGCGGCCCGGGTTCGATCCTCAGCACCACATACCAATGAAGATGTTGTGTCCGCCAAGAACTAAGAAATAAATATTTAAAAAAATTTTTTTAAAAAAGAATATGGCTATAGCTGGGAATGGTGGTATATGCCTGTGATCCCAGCAATTTGGGAGGCTGAGACAGGATGATGGCATGTTCAAGGCCAATCTCAGCAATTTAGCAAGGCCCTAAGCAACTTAGAGAGACCCTATCTCAAAATAAAAGATTAAAAACAATCTGGGGATGTAGCTCAGTGGCAAAGCCCCTCTGAGTTCCATTCCCATTTAAACAAACAATCTATATATATACACAAACTATACACACACACACACACACACACACACACAATGTGTTCTGGGGTTTTGTTTGAGGTACTAGGGATTGAACCCAGGGCACTCTACTCAGGCTGGCCTCAAACTTGAGCTCCTCCTACTTCAGCCTCCTGAATCTCTGGGATTATAGACATGCACCACCATACCCAGCTTGCTATTTTTTTTTTGAACATACAGTATTTTGTAGGTTTAACTTTTGGGCTTATGTAACTATTTTAAATATTAATAAACTAAAATTAAAACTCCTAAAACATAATCCCTAAAAATTGAAAACATAAAATGAACCTAATAAAAGGTCAAACTACAATACTGTAATTACAGTTATATATTTCACCATGAAGATTTCCTTCATATTTGCTAACAGCTCCAGATATGAATGTGAAGTTTATTAAAATAACATAATAGTTGGGTTGCAAATAAACATATGTGGTTTTTGGCATCCCCCTCCACAAGCTCACATCTAGCAAACACAAGGAAACTAATGATAAATGAAATGAGTTGATATAGAGGAATCTTGCTGTCTTTTCTTTTCCATTTCTCTAGGAAAATAAAGGAAAGTCTGGAGTGTTTCCCTGTTAAACTGAATAACTTGATCCACACACTTGCACAAATGTCAGCTATCAGCCCTGCCAAATCTACTCCACAGACTTTGCCCCAGGAATCTTTTTTGCTGAGTCCAACCAGATCGATTCAAAGAGCAACAATTTTAGGGTTCAGCAAGAAACCCAGTAATGTAAGTCTAAAGTCTGCCATCTTGACTTAATATCATTTGGCTTCCTCTCATTTTTTCCTATAGCAGGATTTTTTACTATGCAAATGAAAATCAGTTATAATTTGAGCAGAAGTGCCATTAAGAGGATGTTTTAAAGAAAAATCATAACAGCCAGAGCTATTAACACAGAACCATCAGAGAGAATAGTTCCTGCCCTGTAGTAGAATATAAATCAAGAGCTAATTAAAGTGTCCGTAAGAAAGGAACTGAAGAAATTAGGCAGTTTGTTCCCAGCACGTAAGCTTATGATAGCTGTATATATTGCATTTTATAGGTAATATTTGCCTTTACAAATTGCCTCTCTTGGCTTTTGTGATAATTTTTTTAGAAAGATTCTTTCTTTGTTTATTCTACACAAAACCAGATTTTAGCACATACTATAGGTTATATTACCATTTTTTAAATGTTCACCTCCTTTTCTGCAGCTGTATCTGATCCAGGTGACCCACAGTAACAACGAAACAAGCCTGACAGAAAAATCATTTGACCAGTTTTCAACACTCCATAGCCAACTCCAAAAGCAGTTTGCATCATTGACTCTCCCAGAGTAAGTAGGACTCTATTCTCACACATCATTTTGCCTTCAGTGTTTGTCCTTGAGCAAAAAGCAAAAATCATGGTTATATGCTTTCCTATTTGGGAGCCACACAGTATTCTGACTCCAATGCCATTGAGTCTCTCCCAGAAGAGTCTGTTCTTTCACTGTAAAGAATCTTTTGTCTCATAAAATTGAACAAGGTTTACAATTTTCTCTTTGCTTCCAGCCATTGATTTTGAAGACAGAAGAAATCAGAACCTATTTTATTTTTCATCAACTATTGGGAAAATTACTTTATTTACTTGTTTTTAAATTTAATCTTCTCAGTTGTTTTCTAAAAGAATAAAATAAAATTGAAAATGCAGAACTAAATTGTATATATCTATTATTTAATAGTAAAAAAATAAAAAAGCTCTTATGGAATTAGTTCCTGTACCTGAAAGAAATTTAAGTATATTCCTATGGGTTAGTATAACTCACATTTGTTAACAACTATGAGCTTTTTAATTATTAATTATTAAACTTGCATTATCTACCCTTAATTGATTATTATGTTCATTTTGAAGCAATCATGAAAATCACTTCAGCCATTCATCTTTATAATGAAAAAATATTTTTAAATGAGCAAACTACAAATACAATGAAAATAACTACTGTCCTTATAAACCTAAAATTTGTCATTTCCTATGGGCCAAATTTAGATTGCAGAACTCAATGAATACTGGGATTTTTATTAAATATTTAAATGGTCCTTTAACAACTAAATGTCCACTATATATCTGACAAACTTTGTACATGTAAGTTTTTACTTGGCTTTCACAGTTTAGTCACCTTCCAAAATATAAATGTATATAAATAAGCAAAGTTGTCAATGAATGGAGAGAGATTGTGCAATGTCAAAACTGAGTAAAACACATTCATGAAAAATTATGCTTACAAATGTCACAGAGACTTCAAAACATGAGTACTTTAAGAATCAGGAAGTCAAGAAATTGGAATGAGAGTATTTTCAAGAGGGAAGTATCATCATTCTGAAAACTTTCAAACATCTGGTTGAAAAATTATCAAAAAAGAAATTTGATCAAATAATTGAGAACAAAAAGATGTGAGCAAAAAATTCAAACTTTGACTGCAAATACTGAATTTAAAATCAGTGGTTGACACCATACTATATTAATAATCTTTTAAAAATATAAATTATCGCCTGTTAAATGGCTGTCCTTTGGTTTCAAATTTTTAGAGTAACATGAAGAACTTTAGAAATGCTAATAATCTCTCCATATGCCTCCTCTAAACTTTCAGCTTTATTTAGGATTCCATTTGCTCACCACTTCTGCCTGGCAATGCACCTAAATTGATATTCAGACTATTTAAACAATCCATGGAGAGTAGGGATATGTAGTCTTATGTGGTGCCCTGAACAATACTTGTGTGCTTATGCTCCCAAATGGCGAAGGTTTACAGCAATGCATATAAATGACAGATGAGGGCAAGATTTCCTCTGACTCCTAAATATACCAAGAAGCTCTGTGAGAGTTATATGAAGCTGATCTGCAAAGTATGATCAGAAAGTCAGAGCCATAGAGAATAAAATTCTAATTAGTTGCAGCCTATAACAGTGGTCTTCAAATGGGTCTATTTGTATTTCTGGGTACTTTCCAAGAATACACAGGCTTGGAAGTATTCTTTAAAATTAATGTATGTCTTTAATTTAATCTGCTTGAGGAAGTTAGAGTTCCTTTTCCTGTCCTACTTTCGACACTACTCTTCTCTCAACCATCCAGAATCTTATTTTAGTATACCGTCCCACAGTGTAAAAATATCTAAGAACCAGACAAAAAGGTGAATCAAAATCCTGGTGTTGGTTTTGTAGAAAATGGATTACTCTAATAACCAGGTAACATATCTACTTGCAAGTCAGGTGTTTTTTAGTCTTTGTGCTGAACAAAATTGAGGGAGAACATGATAACACTGTCAGACAAAAGACCCTAAAAAGTGATTTTCAATAACTGATTGCTATCTTACATTTGACATGTAAGATTTAAAACAATTGAATGACATTACACAACAGAATTCCTCAATTTTTAGGTACATATTTTATGCATAAGATTTTTAATACATATGTCTATAAAAATATCAACAATGGAATATAATTCATATCAAGCTGTTTTATTCTACCAATAAAGAAAATTCATATATAGATATGTAAATTAATATTTAAAACTAGGCTAAGTCATCTATTTATCAAATTTATTTATGAAAAAAATTACCATATATGTGTATATATATATATGTGTATAGTTATGATATTTATGTGCATGTATGTGTACACATACATTGTTAAATTTTTTATTAGTTTTGTATTGGAACTAATTTTAATGATAAATAAATCTAGGTCAGAAATTATAATATTTAACACTTTTTAAATAATTAAATACTGTTAAAATACACAAGCATATCCATTTTGCATTTCCCTGTTATTTCATCAAGAAGCAGTGAATGGGGTGGCATGAAGTTGTCACCTATTTCCATTTGCTTACAAGCCTTCACTATCCCCTATGTTCATTTCTCCCAGAATCATAGTAGCCAGTTTATGGTCTCCACCAAAAGAGACCTTTTTGTGTGTGAGAAAGATTGCAGTCAGAGAACCTGCTAGTTAGTTCCTAAAAAGAAATATTTAAACAGCAAAATGCATTACCAAATGTCACCATTAAAAGGTTGACCCACTTGATAACTGGTCTTAATCAAGTCCAGTTCATCAAAATGAATCTTCGGACTGTGCGGAAGAAAATCTATAAGTTTTACTCTTGGGGAGAGTGTGACTTTTTTGCAAAGAAAGAGATCAGGTGGAAGCATGGGTCACTTGATAAAATGTTTAATTTAATTAGTGCAGTAATGTCTGCAGTCAGCCCAGAAGAAACAATACCATCTGAACTCTCTGAAAAATATACATCATTAACTTTACAAAGTATTTCTGAAGCCCCAACATTTGTATTTAAGGAACAAAATGGGTGGTCACTATAAATACAGTAAGAAAGAACATACAAATAAATTTAATGTTAAACTTAATTAAATTTAGTATTAACGTTAGTGACAGTAAAAATGGGACAAATGATCACAGCCATGTCAATGAAACTCTCAGGATTAATCACATGAACTACGGCTTTTTCAAATGTTTTCATTGGCACCTTCATCTCATGCAGCTGTTAACTTTGTGAACAATCCTACAATGAAGAGGCCAATGTTTGCACTAATAGAGATCCGCTTTGTTCTTTTAAAACAGGTTTCCTCATTGGTGGCACTTACCTTTTACAAATTCAGATCACAAAAGATTCAGAGATCTAAATCATTATATGGGACAGATACTAAATGGACCACATGAAGTTGCAAATGTACGTTACAACCTATTTTTTTCTACTTTTACCTAAAATATCAACTATTTCATACAGTATTATCACACAAATAATTTAGAATATTTTATAACTTTCTTCATTCATTCAATGAGTATGTATGTGTAAAGTACATGAACTGGGAACTCTGGAGCAGCTAAAAGGTATGGCACCAGGCCTCAAGTAACATGAAGTACCACAGAGTGCTCTAGAGTTTTAGAGGGGCATGAATTACTTCCAAGTGTCACAAGGGGTTTGAAGGGAGAAGAGGTCATCTGACCTGGGTCTTCAACTCCAGGTAGGATTTAGTAGAGTTGGCTTGGTAAAGAGTCTGGAACACAATAAAGTTCAGGAATAAGAAAAAAAAAAAAAAAGGAAAGAATTGCTTTAGACACCTATTGCTGTTGTGACCGATCACCACAAACATGGTGGCTTAAAGTTCTTTAAGTTCTGAAGCTCCAAGTCTGAAAATGGGGTTATGGAACTAAAACCAAAGTGTTGATGGGCCAGTTCTTTCTTTCATCCTTAGAGGTTCCCCGCATTCCTTGGCCTCCAGCAATAGAGTGACACACTCAGGACTCTGGTCTATCTTCACATCTCCTACTTTGGCTCTGAGTTCCCTGACTCCCTTCTAAAAGGGCCTTAAGATTTCATTGGGACTTCCTGGATAATTCAGGACAATCTCTGCCTCAAGATTCTCAGTTTAAGTTTATCAGCAAAAGCCTCTTTTGTCGTGTAAAGTAACACACTCATAGGTTCAAGGGATTCGGACAGGGATATCTTGGGAGTAAATTATCCTGCCTATCACAGGGATATAAGAAAAAGTTCAAGGACACAATTCTGTTAGATTTCAATACTTGTGCAGTAAAAGTTTGGTGGACAAGCCAAGTTGTTCAGAACTAAAACTAAACCTTAGAGTTGTTTATCAGGATTCTCCAGAGGAACCAAACCAACAGAATGTGTGAGAATATATTTATATTTAGTGAGAGAATCCTATTTTACAGGATTATTGATATTTTTACTAACATTCATATATTTCTTCTATCTCTTTTTCTTAAAAATCCTATATAATACTAATCAACTTTATTTTGGCTAGCATTTGCAGGTTCCAACAGTTTTCATCATTTTACTTTCCGTATTTTTCTAGTTTAATTACCACTCTTATAAGCAATATACATATGGGTTTCATTTTATATCTAGTAGCACAATCTTTACTTTTCAAGTGAATTGTTTAATTATTTACATTTGATATTGTCATCAATGTGGTGTGTGCGTGTGCGTGCATGCACGAGGTCTGTCATCTATTAAGTACTTTCTTTATGATCCTTCTAATGTGTTTGTTTCTTTATTCTTTCTTCAACTCTTTTTAAAGTATATTATTTATTATTTCATTTTGTCCTGAATTGCCTCAGGATTTATACAGTCTTTCACTGTTGGGAATTGCCACAGAGATTGAAGCATGCATCCCTGATTTAAGTCTAATATAAACTAGTGCTGTTATCAATCACACAATGATAAAAGATCCTGAGAATACTTTGTCTATTTAATTCATTTGTGTCTTGTATGCTACCAATAATAGGCATCCATAACTGTATTTATAAACTGAAAAGGTTATTATAATTTCATATAATTGACATTCATTTAATTCTTTATTCTTGGGGGATATTTTTTGCTGACTATAGCATTTGAGTAAAGTAATTTTATTGAAAAGCTTTAAAGCTATCATTTCATTGTCTTTTAGCTTCCTCTGGTTCTATTTTGAAGTTATGTCCTCTACTAGTTGCTTCATTAAGTACTTTTTTCCTTCTTTATCTGCTTTAAGTATTTTTCTGTTGCTTTTGGTTTCCCATTCTTTTGTTATACTGTGCTCAGGTGTAACACTATTTCTATTTATCAGGCTCAAACTTTAAGGCTTCTCATATTCATGTTAGCATACACAAAAGTTCTCAGTAATTATCAAGCCAAGTATTACGTATACCTTATCCTTTTTTCTCTTTCTGTGGGACTGTAATAAAATATGTGTTAAGCCTTCTCACGGTATCCTTTATACCTGATAATTTTATATCTGTATTTTTTATCCTTGTGTTTTACCCTGCGTCTTTCTCAGTAGTTTCTTCTGAACTCTCTTCTGAGTTATTAGTTCTCTTTTTATCTGTATTTATATTATTAAATGTATTTCTTTAGATTTTAATTTCAAATATTTTATTTTTCAGTTTTACAATGTCCATTTAGGAGTTCCTCAATTTTGCTAAAAATTTCAGTCTTTTTTGCTATTTCTTTGCAAAAAAAAAAAAACTGGGCATTTTTTAATATTAATTCAAACTCCAATATTAGTACAAACTGTGTATATGATTATGTTCCTTCCAGTTTCCAACTATGTAGTCTTGAACCTGGTTATTTACTCATTGTGTCCAGATGGTGTACTGCAACATCATTTGTAGAAATAATTTGATCCTATGTTACTATTATCTTAGTGTAGAGAAGAATTATAAAAAGTGAAGAAGTTAACTATCTAGGATTGCAATAATTCAATTGCAACAATTCAGATTAGTCCAAACTAAAATGTAGCCCTATTTTTGGTTCATCTTTATTCCTCAGATATAGCCATTTGGGATCCAAATCCAAGGAGATCTACTGAAAGCCAGCCTCTCAATGTCTCAACTGCTCCAAATTTTATGAGTAAACACCCATTAACAGAGCATGAGGCTCATTCCCAGGCTCCCATTCCTAAATCTATGTCCTCCCCCAGATTCTAGCTTGGCAACTCTTTACTATTTTGTTGGCCCTCTGATCCTTTCAAGTGAAATTTCAAAAACAAATGTCCAGCTCTTTCAATTATTCTCAGCAGAGTATTTGGGCTAACTGACCTAATAGACTATCAACAAAAATGAGAGTCTAGAACTGCAGTCATCACCAAAGTCACCCCTCAGTTTTCAAAAGCATCTTTCAGTCTTGCCTCTCCACCCCTGTCCTGTGCTGGAACACAACCATTCTCTCAGAAAGTGCTAGTGTAGGATCTAAGTCAGTGGTCACTTCCCGTCCCAAAAAAGCATTTAAAGATTTTTTTGTTAGGCTTGGTACTATCCACCAGAGATTCGCAGAATAGTCTTAAAAATTGCAAGAAATGCCAGACCCCATTTCTGCCCTTTCTCTCATGTGGGAGATCTCTTAAGATCCCACCCACCCACCCATACCTACACCCCACAACACACACACACACACACCAGAGATGAACAAAGCTGATTCAACTTCTGATGCTTAAAAAGTTCTAATTTTCTTTGCTATTATGTGCTCCTGTTGCCATATTGCATGGAACATTCCTGTGAAGCGAAGGCCAAGTTCCAGAGGATGATAGAATCCTCCTGAGTTCCTGGACATATGCAGGGTTCCCACAGTGATTTATCACGTACATTACCCCTAAGGAAAATGGGTGCGAGGTCTTTGGGCTGCTTTGTCTTTTGATGCAAGAATGGAGAACACTTATAGAATATTTTTGGCTGAACCACATATCTTGAATAAGTATTGTCACCAATGTGAACCTATTTCTACTATTAATTATGCTAATCAACTAGTAACCATTTTTATAACTAAAAACTTACCTCTGACATTCAGTATATTAAATAATAAAATGCTTTTTTATCAATTGAGTTGTGAGTGAATAACAGAAGCAAGTGCACTAACTGCCTCTGGTAGGAGATTCTGATTGAAATACTGGGAGCCTTCTCTTTCCTCCTCCTCATTCCAACTGCCCCTAGTTGTGCATCCTTGATTAGGATATTACTAGGCCATGGCTGTATTCTGCAGTCTTGACTAAATGCCACTGGCACCTGGGTTATATCTTGACTTAAGAACAACATACATAATATTGTGCTGTATATGTAGACATATTCCAAAACAAAGTGGAAGCATTATAACAATGCAACAATTGACCTCATAACTAGAACTTACTAAGGGAACAAAGAACTCTGTTTTTCTCCACTATAAATTCAATGACCTCTCCTCTTCTCTTGGATCTTGGAGAAAACTTTAAATGAAATTACTTGTTCAATTAGGGAATGAATTTCTTTAATCATATTCTGTACAATAGACCAAATCATTATACATCAAAGAAAACTCATTGAAATTTAAAAATACAGCATATTCAAGCATCTCTTCAAAAATGCCTCTTGTGAAGCAGCACACTGATTCAATATGTCAACTTATTTTTGTGCCTCTTAGGTAAGTAATATAGTGGGCTGATGGTACATAGACTTACCTAAAGAAGAAAATCCCCACAATTCAGATCAAGTGTCTGAAGGACTATTTTAGGAAACCTAGATTCTCAGTAGTGACTTCATTGGATTGAATATAGTTGGAAGCAAAATGTGAAACTTTTAAATTCCTTGTACCTAAGACATATAATTTTCAAACTCTGTGGGAAAATCACCTTTAACCTTAAAAGAATATACATTCTCAGCCCCAATCAAAATCCACTAACTCAGATACTCTCAGGAGGGGCCCTGAATTATCTGAATTATCAGATTTTGGTCCATCCTAATGTTTAAAACCATTGTCTCAGACAGTAAATATCCCCTTTCCTTTTTTTCCGGTTTGGACATGATCAGTCATTTAACCTCTTATATAGCAAGTACTCAAGTATCTTACCATATTATCAATTCTTACCAAATGTAGACTCAAGGACATTGTGCTGCAATATTATTTCAAGGCTGGTAGACTGTCAGCTGGAGATGCTATTTTGTATTGAAGGACAAGTGCCTGAGCACTTAAGGAGGTCTGCCTAACTCAGTTCTGAGTGAGTTAGAGAAGGCATCCTAGAGTGTATGGCATTCAAGCTGGTCTTCAAGGGCAAGGAGCAGTTAATAAATAGGCAGTGAGAAAAGTCATGCTACACAAAGGGAACTGCAAAAAGAAAACATTATGGTTACATGCATGTCTCCTTTTCAGAAACTTAAAGAACTTATTGACTATGTTCTTCTCCGTTTTTATTCCTTGTCTCACACAAT